AGAGACAGAGAGAAAGTCTCTCAGAAATGCATGCAAGCGAGGCAGGGCAGAGAAAGAGGGAGACAAAGAATCAGAAAGAAGCAGGTTCCAGGCTTTGGGCCGTCAACACAGAGCCCAGCCCAATGCAGGGCTTGAACTCACGAACTGTGAGATCATGAGCTGAGCAAAAGTCAGACACTCAACCGACTGAGCCACCCAGGCAGCCCTATTTTTATATTTTTCATTTTTGAAATAGAGTGCACACATGCACAAGCCAGAGAAGGGCAGAGAGAGGAAGACAGAGGATCCGAACCGGGCTCCGTGCTGGCAGCAGAGAACCATATGTAGGGCTCAAACTCACAAACATGAGATCGTGACCTGAGCCAAAGTTAGACACTTAACTGACTAATCCACCCAGGCCCCCCAAAATTGACTTTTTTATTGAATTTGTATCCCACAAACCTTGCTACATTTATTAGTTCATAACTGACATACAGTAAACTCCACATACTAAACTGTACAATTTGATACACTTTGATATCTGTGCACACCAGTGAAACCATTATCATAATCCAAAAAAAACAACACAGCCATTATACCCAAAAGTTCCCTTGTACTCCTTGTACTCTCTCCTTTCTACCATTGCCATAATGACAAATTGCATTTTCTAGTATTTTATGTAAATGGAAGGGGAAAAACCCTGATTTGGCAAATACAGGATAGAATCTATTAATTCTAGTAAGTTATGTTTAGAACAAACATTCAAGGGGCGCCTGGCTCAGTTGGTTGCGCGTCCTACTTTGGCTCAGGTCATGATCTCAAGGTACGTGGGTTCAAGCCTTGCATCGGGCTCTGTGCTGACAGCTAGCTCAGAGCCTAGAGCCTGCTTCAGATTCTGTATCTCCCACCCTCTCTGACCCTCCCCTGCTCATGCTGTCTCTCTCTTTCTCTCTCAGAAATAAAACATTTAAAAAATTTAAAAAAAAATTCAAAATAATACTGGAAAATTTAAACTATTTGAAAAAAACATAAGACATATTTAAAACCAGAAACACAGCAAAATAATCCCTCTGCCTGACAGTCCTCCCTAACCCTCTTCAGTTTATTTATTTACTTTTAAAGTAATCTCTATGCCCAACATGGGGCTCGAACTCCCAACGTGGAGATCAAGAGTCCTATGCTCTACCAAGTCAGCCAAGTGCCCCTCCATCTTCAATTTAAGTGACACATCCTCGGAGTAGCTTTCCTTCTTCATTCTATTAGTCTCTCCTACAGTGGCAATCTCTACTTCTTTCTTTCACCTGTCTCACTTATGATTACTGTCAACATCTCTCTTCCCTCACAGACTGTGAATTGGGTGACAGGAATGCATCTTGTTTGTAGCTGCATTCCCACTGCCCATCACACTTGGAACTTAGTAGTTACTTGATAAATGTTTGTTGAATGAAGGAATGTATACATGAATTAAAGAATATTCTCAAATTTTTGTCACTCAGAATAAATATAATTACTGGCTTGCTCTATGGTAAATTTCCCCTGACTAGAATGAAAAGGAAAAAGGAAAAAGATGTGGCACTGATAAGGTTCTCACACTGTCAATCTAGCAAATTCATCTTTCAGAGCAAACAGAGTACTGTTCTAGTGGCAGCCATACTTATAAAGTCCTTCAATAATCTTTTACCATCTGTGGTATTATATGGCAACTGTTTACAGAGCTATGAAGTGGTAGCCCAAGGCTTGGTTTAGGAAGTGAACAGTACCATGTCCCAATTCCTTTAGATACTTAAATACAGTTAATACTACATTCTAGATTCTAACAACTCAGTCATGGAAAGCTGACAGCATTAACTGGAAAGACCTTTACAATCTCCATCCCCTTATTCCCTAGTTTAACATATCCATCTCTAAGACCCTCCCCCATAACTGGCACAAGAGTAAAGCTGTGGGACTGTATGCTATTACTTAGCTCCTTTTATTCCTAAGATGCAATTAGATGTTCAACATTTTTTGATTACTAAGTAACAGCAACTATTTCAGGCACTTTAAATGACAGAACTAAACAAGGGTATCTACCTATATAGAACTCATGTTCTAGAGGGAGAAAACAGGAAAAAAAAAAACTAACTAAAAAAATAAATTAGAAGGTATGAGGAAGGAAAGAAAAAGAAGAATGAGAAGAATGTGGGGGAGTGCTGACAAGAGAAAAGACAAGTGGAATTTTCAATAGACTAGTCCAAGTAATCTTCACTGAGGGGACACGTGACTAAACAGTGAGGGTTTAACTATAAGGATTTATGAGGAGAAGTGTTTCAGTGCAAAAAGAACAAGCAGGGCAAAGGTTGAAAGGCAACACATTGCTTTTCTGTCCTAACAGTGGCAAGGAGGCAGTAAAATTAGAGTGGAGTAAACAATGGAGAGAGTAGTAGCTGTATTCATACAGGTAATGGAAGATCAGATCTTATAGTACCTTACATACCATTGCACGGAATGTGGCTTTTACTCTTAGTAAAATATGAATTACCACACAGTTTTGGACAGAAGAGTGACATGATAGGACTTAACACTTCAAACAGATCTCTATGCTAGCTACATTCAGAATAGAATGCAGAGGGGTAAGGGTAAAAGCTGAAAGATGAGGAGAATATTGTAGTAATTCAGTGAAGAGATGATGATGGCTTGATCAGGATAGTAGAGTGGTTAAGAATTGGTTAGATGCTGGGTAATCTTTGAAGGTACAACAAAGATTTGCTGATGGTTTAGATGTGGGACATATGAAAGAAGTAAAGGATCCCAAAGTTTCTGGCCTGAGCAACTAAAATGATGAAAATGCAATTATTTGAGATAGGGAACTTTGGATGGAACAGGTTTGAGGTGGAAGAGGAAGAGTTCAGTATTGTAAATATTAATTTTGAAATAAATATCTTTTATTTATTTATTTTTTAAATATTTTTATTTATTTCTAGGAGAGAGACAGCGTGAGCAGGGGAGGGTCAGAGAGAGAGGGAGTCACAGACTCTGAAACAGGCTCCAGGCTCTGAGCTGGCAGTCAGCACAGAGCCCGACGCGGGGGTCGATCCCACGAACCGCGAGATCATGCCCTAAGTGAAAGTCGGACGCTTAACCGACTAAGCCACCCAGGCGCCCCTGAAATAAATATCTTTTAGACACCCAAGTGGAGATGTTGAGTAGGGCTGGATATAAAAATCCAGAATTTTGGAGAGAGGTCGAGAGGGTGGAGATAAAAGTTTGGGAAACATAAGACTATAAATGACATATAAAGCTATGGGACTAAATTAAATCACTCTGGGAGACAGTAAAGAAAATGTGATCAAGAACTGAGCTCAGGGGCATTCCAATTTTAAGAAGTTAAGAAGAGGAGGAACCAGCAAAGGAGACAGAAGGAGTAACCAGTATAGCAGGAAGAAAACTAGGTGTGGGGTTCCTGGAAGTCAATTAAAGAATCAAGGACGGAGGGCATCTGGGTGGCTCAGTTGGTTGGGTACCTGACTTCGGCTCAGGTCACAATCTCATGGTTCATGAGCATGAGCCGTGCTTTGGGTGAGTTTGAGCCCCATATGGGTGAGCACCAGCCCCGCTTCAGGTGAGCTCAAGCCCCACTTCTCTCTGTCTCTCTCTGCCTCTCACTCACTTGTGCCCTCTCTCTCTCTCTCAAAAAAAAAATAAATAAAGGAGAGATGGATGGTGTAAAATATTTCTGATACCATTAAGACTGTTGAGACAGTAACACAGAAGTAGAAGTCAAGAAGGGGATATGGGTGGTTATCAGCAAAATGTGTATCTTCCCACCCTAAGTTTTTCTGTGCCAAACAAACTGCTAAATGCTGACATACAAACATGAATAATACATTGTCCTTGCCTTCAAAATAATCCAATGATATGCTAAGAACTGTATAAAAATGGACTTTCCACCTTTTCTAAAGCAGTAGCCTGCCATATTTTTAAGGAAAGAAGGGAGAAGTAATTTTTAAACTTGGTAACATTTATAAATAAAGAGCTGCAAGTGATGAATTTCCACTTTTTCTCCACAGCTTAAAAAAAAGGGCCAAAATCACACTTCTCTGATTAAAGTACTTGCTGTTAAAAAAGCCTGTGTACAGGCACCTGGGTGGCTCAACCAGTTAAGCATCCGACTCTTGAGATCTCATGGTTCATGGGTCAAGCCCTGCATGGGGCTCTGTACTGGCAGCATAGAGCCTGCTTGGGATAGTCTCTCTCTTTCTCTCTCTAAATAAATACATAAACTTAGAAAAAAAAAAAATGAAACAAAACCTGTGTGAAGTGCCTGGCTGGCTCTGTCAGAGAAACATGCAACTCTTGAACTCGGAGTCATGAGTTTGAGTCTACACAAGGGGTGCAGTATATTACTTTAAAAAACAAAAACCAAAACCTGTGTATGTATCTGTTTGTCTATGTATCTAGAAAAATAAACCAGAAATGAAATGCTCTGAAATTACATCTCCAAATGTTAACTACTGATAAGAATTTGGTATGTATTTCTCATTTTATTTCCACATTCATATCAGCACTCTAGGGCATATTTGCTCTACCACAGAATTTAAATGTAATTTTAAATGTTTACCAACAACTCTTCTACATACTTTGTGTACTTTTTCCTGTGTAATTATTATTAGTTCAATACCTATATGTATGGGGATATAAAAGATAATTGGTTTGGTCAATTTAAGTTGTAAGAAAAAAGTGTCTTCTGCTTAAAAATAAAATTATGCAAGCATTACATTGTCAAAATAAAACAAACCCCATGCATATGTAAAACTAGAAGCATATTAATCTAAATATTTTTATGTTAACCATGTTTATCCCTAGGAATGATCAGGTCACTTTTATTACCTATAACTTTCTCTTTGTTTTTCAAATTAAAAATAGAAACAAAAACCTAAACATAACATTTGTACTACATTCAGGTAAATAATTACATATTATTTTGTACTTAGTTAAAATTAACATTCACATTTAATTTATGCTGACAAAAATGAACTCACTTAGGCATAAATGCTCCATTGGCTAAGGATGGCTCATCATCATCCAGCCCATCAAAGAGATGGGACTTGGCTGTGCCTGTGGTCTGTAAAGCCTTTGGTCGAACTCTGGTGGCAGGACGCGGTGTTAGTTTATAATGAGTGGGTGTAGTGAGAGCCTTCTGGGCTGCTGGATTTGTTGGTTTCAATCTCTGAAAAACAAAATCATCAAGGAAAGTTCTAGTTTAACTCAAAAGTGTTGTTTTGGTCTTAAAAAAATTACAAGAGTTCAAATCTCATATCTGCCAGTCACCCAACTGGATACCTCCTTATTTTTCAACTAAACCAAAAATCTCACTCTTCAAAATAAACTGAGATGTACCCATGAATTGCTATTCAACTTCCATACAATCCAAATCACTCTGAAAAAAAAATGATACTAGCTTGCATTTATTCATCATTTAGTAAACACTAACCTTTGTGAGTCAAACACTAAGTACTCACAATAAAAATAATAAAATCACTTCCCTTGATTTTTGAGGAAATTACAAGATAGTGGAAGAGATACAACTAAATTAAGACTTCAGGGGTGCCTGGATGGCTCAGTTAGTTGAGGGTCTGACTTTAGCTCAGGTCATAATCTTGCGGTCTGTGAGTTCAAGTCCTGCTGTCAGCTCAGAGCCTGGAGCCTGCTTTAGATTCTGTGTCTTCCTATCTCCCTCTCTCTGCCCCTCCCCCGTTCATGTGTGCTCACGCGTGATCTCTCTGAAAAAAATAAACATTAAATTAAAAAAAAAAAGACTTCAGGTTGATTTTGATGGCACCTTTATTATGCTTCTATAGCATCTTCAGGATGTTATATATTTGTTTTCCTAAACATTATACATGGGATTATACAACCACTTGAAACAATGTCTAACACATAAAACCTGTCACAATTTACTGTTCTCTTCATCATGTCAACTGTTTGCAACAGTGAACCTTCCTAGATATTTGTTGTGATCTTTCATAATTGTGTGCCTTTGTCTGGAATGTCTTGACCTAGATCTACCAACATCTACATACATACTCAAAAAAAGTTAAAATGTTACCTCTTTTGCAAAGCCTTATCAAACTTTAAATACTCCTTTAACATAAAATTCACCATTTTAATGCATACAACCCAAAGGGCTTCAGTATATTTAATAAGTTGTACAAGAACCACCACTATCTAAATCCAGAACATTCCCCCTCACCGCATAAAGAAGTGTTGTGCCTACCAATTCCAGCCCTTACAACTTGGCAATCATGAATCTATTTTGTCTGTATAAATTTGCCTATTCTAGACATTTTATATAAATGGAATCATGTGGCCTCTTATTTCTGATTTCTTTCACCTTGCATAATGTTTTCAAGGTCCATCAATGTCATACATAGCATGTATCAGTACTTCATTCCTTTTTATGACTGAATGATATTCATCATATAGATCTACAACATTTTGTTTATCCATTCATCAGCTGACTATATATACTATATTGAGCTTGAATAAATTTAAACACTTTAACAGACCTGATCTTCCTCACTAAATAGCAAGCTCTTAGAGAAGAAGTTGTTTTCATTTTGTATCCTCAGTACTGAACACAGTGACTACCACATATTTAGGCCTGAAATTATGCAGTACCACTAACACATAATTTTCATTTAAGCACAACTTATATTTACACAGCATGTTAAGAAGCCCTTTAAATTCCCATCTTCTCATTATATTTAGTTACAGGGTTAATTCAAGAACCAGCTGAGGGAGAAATAAGATGACATAAATGACTGAATAGCTATAGACTGATCATTTACTATAAGCAGAGTATACATCATCGCATTTAATTCTCAGCACTAAATAATATTACCATTCCCATTTTACAGATGAGGGAGCACATTCAGAGGCAAAATAACATGCTCAAGTTCTCATCCATTGTACATGGTAACACAAGGATCAAAGAGACCAAAGACTACTTTTAACACCACACCACAGTGAGCAAAAGAGCATTTCTTTGACATTAGAGTATAAAGAATTAAGACAAAGTTAACTGCAGAAACCAGGAGAAAAAATATTGATATGCCACTTAAGAGCATTATTTTAGGGAAATCAGCCTCTCTGAGCCTTAAGTTTGCTCAACTATAAAATGGGAATAATAATGTATGCCTTAATTCAGAGCTTTTGAAAGTCTCACCCCTCATCTCCAGTCCAGTGTTCATTTCACCGCCATGCTGCCTTCTAGATACAGCAAACATAATTTTTTGCCCAGCAAAAAACATAATGTGTCTTAAAACCTTAACTGTACCTAACTTTGCTTAGGCTATATATGTAAGAAATTACGTTCTGCACAGTTAGTTTCTCCTGATCTGAGAATAAACTTTATAAGAGCATCCTTAAATTTACCTCTTCTTTCTTTTTAGGGTCTGACATAGGATTCCGGAAGAGAGGAGAATCTCCAAAAGGTGAGTACGTTAGGCTATTGATATGTTGCTGAAGAACAGCTTGCTGGGCAGCAGAAGCATTGGGATCTGTCAAAGCTGTTTTGGAAAAAAGAAAAGAAAAAGTAAGATGTCAGTCCAGGGATCCAATGCATTTATAACAAGAGAACACAGAATCATTTTGGAGACACTTTCAAAATGTTCAGACTCACTCAACAGCATTATTGGTGCGAAGCAGAGGAGCAAATTGTGAAGAAAACCAACAATCAAACTAATGGATCAAAGATATGAAGAGGTTTTTCATAAGAGACAACCACAAAATTTTTACTTAAGTGTTCATTGTCAATAATCAATGACATCAAATTTAAAACAACCCTGAAAAAAATATATTATACCTACCTCATTATCTATCAGTGCTGCAGCTGTATGAAAAGAGTTACAGTCTCTGACTTCTAGAAACATTATAAAATGGTTTACTCTGTCTAAAAGAAACAATATGACAGCACATAAAACAAGTACTGTTTTTATATTTTTTAACCTACTTGTTTCAATCATGGAAATTTAACCCAGGGACTTCATTAAACTAGAAATAAAATAAATGTTTACAGTGTTTAATGAATATTATGTTACAGTTAAGACTTGGAAACAACCTATGTCCAACATTAACAGTTGTAAAAATCATGATACATCAACATGGTGGGTTAAGTAGTTATTAAAAATAATGTGTTTCACTGTGTAAATAAGGAAATAACTTCGATTTAGTAAGTAAAAATTGCAAAATTAAAATATTAAGTATACTAAGACTACAGAGGAAGAAAGTGGCATATAAAAAATGAAAATGATTGCTAAGGTGTCTTTATATGTTTATTATTTGCATTTATTATTCATATTAATTCAAGTAAAAACTGAAAGAAAAAGTATCACTATAATTAGTCTAATTTTCTTTCTGAGTATAAAAACATGTCATTAGTTACAGAGACTTTAGGGAACTAACAAGGAATGATAATCTAGAAGTATACATAGCAAAAACAAAACAAGCCAACAAAAAATACTGCCACAACTATCTGCATTGTATCCTGACTGATGAAGAACTGCTTTACAAAATTAGTATTTCCAAAAATACTGATTAAAAAAATCAAATCATACTTAAGTCATTTAGAGATAAAAATACTTTTTTCATTTATAAATGTTTAAAATAAGGCTAACATCAAATCGTATTAGGTAATCCACATTAAAGTAGTGCCAGAAACAAAACATCTGGAAAATTTAAGTACTCATAATAGAGGAAAAAACCACAATAGCAGCAACAACAAATCCAGAACAGACAGCTAAAGCTAAATTAATGAAAAAGGGGAAGATCCACCTTAGTCAAATTAAGCTTTCTTAAAATCAGTATCAATTAAATACTAAAACACTGTACGCTAATATATAAGTAGAGAGTGCAAGTTTGCTCAAGATTGTGAAACCCAGATGTCCATTTTAAGAGTATATAGTAAATCATCTGTACTTGGAAAGTTCCTAAATCCAATTTAAGACCATCAGCGGGGAAATAAATTTAGAAAAGCAGTTTTGGTACACAGTGCCACACAGTAACAGCATAGTGTTATTCTGTGGAATATTCAAGGAAATTCAAGAAAATGTGGAAGTTTTTAAAACAACTCTAATATTCACTGGTCAAGTTTCTTATCTGACAGCCAATTATCCATTAAAATTAATAGTGACCTGCACGAGCTCATCCCATCATTAACAAATATAATAAGTCACCCCACCTGGGCTTACTCAAAACAGCAAGAACTCCTTTAACAAATCTAAACATAATTAGGAAAGTGTGTGAGGATATTTTTCTTTTTGTAGGTTTAAATATGAAGTCTTCTCTAAGTTAACTGTATGATTTAAATATATAGACAAGAGAGCTGAAAGGTTACCAAAACAAGAGAACTAGCAAGCATGTAAGCATTAGTTAAGCTGTCATTTATGTTATATTCAATTCTGGTCACAGTATTTTGAAAACATACTGACAAGGCCACATCATGACCAAATGATTAAAGGGATAGGAAAAAGTATAAAAACAAAGTCTGAGAATAGAAAAATCTGATGATACTTTATCTTAAAGAAAGACAATACTGTAACAGGCTGGTTTGCTTTAGCCTAAGAGATAAAAGGCAGAACCACTGAGTGGGAAGTCTATGGAGGTGCATTTTCGTTTCTAAACAACCTGAACAAAACAACAGACTAGACCAATTTGGAAAGCTGTAACTGAGGGACTCCCACCGTAAGAGTGGACTCAGACTCACATAAGCTCTAGAGCACCTTCCAATTAGCGTCCTGTGATGCAAAGATGTACATTCTAAAAGTCAATATAGCTACTTTTAAGTTTGTGGTAACATTACTATATGTAACTGTAATATTAAATGCTCATGTCAGGACCTTTTAATTGACTTTAGAAGATGGATCATCAAAAGCCATTGAAAAAACAGTACTATCCAAGTAAAAATGGCAGGTTACAAATATTTATGGTACCCTCTTCTGGTGAAAAGAACGAAAACTACAAAAAAGAAATAAAACTGAAAATATCACCTTTAATGATAAAGCGGACTCCCTTTTTTTTTTTTTAAAGACAGAAAGAAGAGTGCCTGCACACAAGAGTAGGAGAGAGGCAGAGGGAGAAGGAGACAGAGAATAGTAAGCAGGCTCCACACTCAGTGCAGAGCATGATACTGGGAATCTCACGGTTGTGAAATCACAACCTGAGCTAAAATCAAGAGTCAGATGCTTAACCAACAGAGGCACCCATGCATCTATTTTTTTTTAAGTTTGTATTTATTTATTTAGAGAGAGCAAGCACATGTGTATAAGCGGGGGAGGGACAGAGGGAGGAGAAGAAGAGAATACCAAGCAGGATCCCTACTGCCAGTGCAAAGCCCGATACGGGGCTCAAACCCATGAACTGTGAGATCATGGCCTGAGTCAAAACTGGGTCAGACGCTTAACTGACTGAGCCACTCAGACACCCAGAGATCAATTAGAATTCTAATTCACCTCCACTCCTTCCAAAGATCTAATTAAAATCTAGGTTTAAAACATATTAAAATATAACCCACAATAACAAAGAATGGGAAGTAACAAGGGAGCAGATGAAAAAATGTAACAAATTTTTAGGGGAAAGAAGTGGACAGAGGCATGATAAAGCAGGATAGAGCAAACTGTAACTTAGAGTACATTCATAAGGGATTACAGCACAAAGTAGAGCATTATCTGCCCTGAAGAATCCCAGAAAGGTTAGGGATTCAATGATACCAAGTTTGAAGTGAGACTGAAAGCAGGAGAAATGAATCACTGTAAAGTACATGTACAAATCACCTACACCTTCATCCTGTAAATCCTTGATGCTTAACAGACAAGCCAAACATCGGAGTGTGCCTCTGATGAAACTAAGTTAACACATGGAAAGAACAAGGGCAACTAGTTTCAATACTTGCATCATCCCAAAGCTAAGAATATGGCATTCTAACCATCAGGAGACCCTGGGACAATAGCTGATTCCTGGACTATGTACATTAAAATGAAGCCTACTGGTAAATAAGCTCTACCCATATATGTAAATTGCCAGTGAGCTTTTTATTATTTTATTCTTGAATAATAAGGATTATGGAGCATTAAAACAAAAATAATCCTGAAGAGGTAAGGCACAGAAGAGTCCTAAAAAAAATTTTAATGCCAATTAACAAATTCAAAGTTTCAAGAAATAATGGATTCTAAGAACTAGATGCTTAAAACAGGAACTTTCAAAGAAAGAGAAAGAATTCTTGTAAGTTAAATATAAAAATTCAGGATGCCGGGGTGGCTCAGTCAGTTAAGTGTCCAATTCTTGATTTAGCTCAGGTCATGATCTCACGGTTTGTGAGATCAAGCCCCCCCCCTCATCCCTACTCCGGTCAGGCTCTGTATTGACAGCACAGAGCCTGCTTGAGATTCTCTCTTTCTGCCCCTCACACTCTCTGTTTCTCTCAAAATAAATAAAATGATTTAGAGGACAATAAAAATCCAAAAAAATAGAAACACAGCTTAAAATGCTAGCATTAAGATAGAGGGATGCCTAGGTGGCTAAATTGGTTGAACATCTGACTCTTGATTTTGGCACAGGTCATGATCAGGCTCCTCACTGAGGATGGAGCCTGCTTAAGATTCTCTGTCTCTCTCTGTCCCTCTAACCAGCTTGTGCACTCGTGCACTCTTAAAAAAAAAGAAAAAAGAAAAGGAAAGGAAAAAAATCAAGCATTAAGATAGAAAGGGTATAAGCAATTCAGTAAGATTTCAGAATAAAGAGACAATCCTATATGGTTGTGGGGAGTGGTGGCTGAACAAGTCTCAAGAATCAAAAAGGCATTAGACTTCTCATCAAATAATGGTTAATGCAAGGAATATTGGCCAAGTTCTGAGGATAAATTATTTTCACAGATTTCCAAAATATTAAAGCATGAGGAACAAAAAAAGGTACTGTATTTTCAGAACTGTAAGTGATCAACGTTTACCTTTCATATATAATTTACTTAAAAATATATTCCAGGAAATAAAGAGGAAATCCCTACATCCAGGACGGAACAGTTCTCACTATGTAGGCTTGAAGGGAATATTGGGAACAATGCTGAAGGCCAAGGGAATAATCAGAGTTCATACTTCTTTAGAAGAACAGAGGGATCAAGGAATAATGTATCCAGAGTAAAAACAAATTCTGATACCATCCTTAAAAATTTGGACAAGTTCAGAAAAGTGATAAAGGGCTAGTAATGCAGAGGGAAAAAAGAATGAAAAATTCTAGGAGAAAGAAAAAGCTTTATGAGAAAGGTGTCATTGGCTGTGCAGCAATGTTTTCATAGTTGTAAGAAAATGCCACGCTTGGGGCTCCTAGGTGGCTCAGTTGGTTAAGTGTCTGACTTCAGCTAGGGTCATGATTTCATAGCTCATGAGTTGGAGCCCCATGTCAGGCTCTGTGCTGACAGCTTAGAGCCTGGAGCCTACTTTGGAGTCTCTATCTCCCTCTCTCTGACTCTCCTCAGCTTGTTCTCTCTCTCATAAATAAACATTAAAAAAAATTTTTTTTAATTCTATGCTCATATTACTACTTTTAAGTTATTCTTTAATCTAAGAAAAGTTAATCTAGTAACTATAGGACAAAATACATTATCAATGTTATCAATATGAAAATATAAAGATAGCAAAAGAAGAAATGAGGAAAAAGAAGGGTGAGAACAGGTATTAATACCCTTACTTGACCAAGATAACTCAAGAAATACTTTCTCTCAGTTGACAGAAAAGGAAAAAGGATATAGGGACACAGCTTAAATTTGCAAAAGTCTTATCAAAATATGGTACACGGGTCATGATACTACAGGAGATGAACTTAATGGTAAAGAGACTAACTTTCAACTGTCTCATTTACTCACTCAGTTACCCTATTTATGCCAAGTGGTATGTTTTTTATTTCCAACAGAACACCTTTCTTTCAAAAAGCTATTTAAGCTAAAAAGTTCATTTTAAGTTAGAAAATAATAATAATGAAAGTGACAGGCAGAGAGGGCAAAAACTGGGAAAGGGTATTCAAATGAATGAATTATGAAAAACACATCAGTAGATAAAACTAAACTTAGGGAATTTAGTAACACAGCTATATTAGAAATGAATAAAGAACATAGAGGTGATAAGTGAGCTAAATTTTTCATCTACTACTAACAACTTAAATTAAAACTTAATAAAGCAAAACATATCAACATAAGTGTATCATTTAGAGATATGAACTTAACTATACACCAGGAAACAAAGTGGCTGTAAAAAGTGGTTTCCTAGTCAGGCCTGGGAGTGGGGAAGTGGAGAAGGCCAGGAGCCATCACATGCCCTTCTGTACTACATGACTATTTAATTAAGTGCATTTGGGTTATGCTTTGGTAGGGGGATGGAATGGGTGGAAAATGAGGTCAACAAGTATTAGCAAGAAATACAACTGAGTAAAGCCTTCTGAAGTGACTGACACTTACCTACTGGGGCCTGGGGGGCTCCAAAGCCCAAAGTGGCTGTCGTAGTATTAAATCCAGGGGCCCCAAAGGCTCCTGTACCAAGAGGCCCTCCGATCTTAGGTTGGTTGTTCCCAAACAAAGATGCCTGTCCAGCACCAAGAGCTATGGAGACAAGAGGAAAGAAAAAGCGCCACAGGAGATCCTTTGAATGTTATACCAGAGGTCAGTTACTTATAAATATAATACATTTGGAAACTTCATAATGACCACTCATTTCAACAAAAGAGCCAATATAGTCAATGCTAACTATATGCCAGGCACTGTGCTGAGTACATTACATATATCATAGGCAAAATACTTAACCTCTCTATGCTTCAGATTCCTCAACTATAACATGAGTTAATAATACATAGCTTAGATATTTATCCTAAGGTTAAAATGAATAAACACATACTAACTAAGCATTTAGAGGAGGACTGGTAGATACTAATACTCATTAAATATTAGCTAGTATCTCACTTAATCTTCCTAAGCCTGAAATAGGACACATTATCTGCATTTTACAGATGAAAAGACTAAGGGTTTAGTAATTAACTCAATGTCACAAATGTCGTAAATGGTGAAAATGAGGTTCAAATCTAGATGCATCTGAATATAATGAGGGTTCTTTACTATACTAGAGTAATACAAAGTTTGAAAGAATTAAAAAATAATTTTTAAATTTCAATATTTGCAAATCAAAATATGCAGGTGAACCAATCACAATGTCATCTTCTGACTAACATATAGGCTAAACTACAAAAAAAACAAATCCAATACATCTTTGAATAGCAAAAAGTAATACTTTCAAAGTGTACCATCTCATGAAAACGACTTTATACAAAGACAAACGTTTTGTTTAATAAAAGCTAAAATGCTTGTGATGAGGTTACTAACCAGTCTCCAGTTTCATCATGAATCAGACTGGAAAGAGTAAGAACTTATTTTCACCAAGGGGAAACCCACTGCAGAAACTTATGTTTGAAAGCCTAATGAATCTTGCTTATGGATCTTGTTCTCAGCAGTGAAAATGGGGAGATTTTATATTTAGAGTAATTTATTGGCATTAAATTTTTTAAAAATTTCCATCTTCTCCTCTTCAAAAAATTATTGTCAATTTGGAAGATCTAAAGTTTGCTTTAACGCATCAATGCATCTTGAGAGAGAAAAAAAATCACTTCAAAGATATAATACTTAGAGATCAAAAATACTGAATACAAACTGTTTGGAGATTGCAATCAAAAAAAGCATAGGAAGTCTATACTCAGAGAATCCATACAACAGAAATTAGTGAGGGTAACTACTGAATGGACAAAACATTCCCTAACTGTCCAACCTCATTAGTAACAAGAAGATAATCCCTTTGCTACCGCTTTGGAACAGGGAATGGCTTCTTTTAAAGTCCCAAACCATCAGAAATTGGTGAAAATTCAAAGGAAAGAGCACAAATTTCAGAATTCTTTATTTTTCCAAGTAGGAAATACCTCCTTACCGCTGAACAAAAACTTAGAAAAAATCCGAATATATAAAATAGACAAAAATTTCTCATCTGGATGGGAGTTCATTTCCCTCACCTTAGTAGCAGCCCTGGATAAAGAACCATGAAACAGTCTAAAAATCACTGTATTTCAATAACCATAAAAAGAATAATAAAGGCACTGGGAGGTTCAGATCACCTGGAAAGAGACTATCATAAATTGACCTGCTTGCATACTGCTGCAATTTATCAACAAAAAACTATATTTTTTATGCATATCTACCTCATATTATACAAAAGGCTTTTTATGCATAATAAAAAGGACTTCCTAATAGTCCACAAGCTGGGGGACATTCTGGAAAATAATGTCAATATATGAAATATGCTATATTTATGATTAGTTACAGGAGTCATAAAGCAGATATATGGGGGGGCACCATATTGTAATAGTGGCCCTAGAAATTCCAAGGATGCTCAAGAAAAAAAGTGAAAATGGTTATATTCCTTTTGCAATTTTCTAATAAACATTAGAAGTTAATTTTATCCATGATATTTATTAGCTTTAGGTAAATTTTTCTGTGTATACCTGAGCCTAACAATGAACTTTACTAGATGTACCCTTAAACTTATTACTTCATGGAAAATTTTAAGAACTAAAATCTTTTTTTAAAAAAATCTTTTATTTATTTATTTTGAGAGTGAGCGAGCAAGCAGAAGGGGCTGAGAGGAGAGACAGAATCCCAAGCAGATCCGTTTCATCAGCACAGAGCCCTATGTGGAGCTCAAACTAATGAACCGTGAGACCACAACCTGAGCCAAAAACAAGTCAGGTGCTTAACAGACTGAGCCACCCAGGCACCCCAAGAACTAAAATCTCTTAATATTATTAACTACCGAGGCACCTGGGTGGCTCAGTCAGGTAAGCATCCAACTTCAGCTCAAGTCATGGTCTCATGGTCCACGGATTCGAGCTCCCATCAGGTTTTGTGCTGACAACCCAGAGCCTGGAGCCAGCTTTAGATTCTGTGTTAGTCTTCCTCTCTCTCTACCCTTCTCCTCCCCAGCTTGTGCTCTGTCTCTCTCTCTCAAAAGTAAACATTAAAAAAAAAAAAAAACAGATAGCAATAGTACTAACTACCAAGAAAATGGCATATTATTGATAGTGACAATGATAGTTATTTCACTGTCAAATCAGAAATGTATACACCCATGATTTAATGAGGGTTCCTTAGTCTGAGTACATGGGGGGATGGGAAATCTCAAATGCCAAATAATATAAAATGTTTTACAAGAGAATCTGTTACAGGACATCTTACTTCTGCAGGAGTATGAATCTCCATCACTCAAAACAAGTTGCACAGGAATACTCACTTAGCTAATGCCCCAGAAAGACATCACCCAAAGCTACAATGCTATTCTACTTGAAATGCAGACCTCATGAACATGGGTTTTTACATACAACTGTCTCCAGACACACTGCTCTCAAAGCCTCAAGTCTGCTTTAGCAGATATGATCATCAAAGAATTCCAACAGTGTATACTCAGTGGTTCTCAGAACTCACCATTTCCTACCTGATCTATTCCTGCTACGGTTTGGGGTGTAAAATTCTTTACTGATTGTATTTGGGGTTTAGTTTACACAAATCATGAACGACGGATATATAACAGCAGAAAAATGGGATCTGTTGTCCGTAAGGTAGAACTATTTAAGGATAAGTGAACATATTCAAATAAATAAAAAGGCTGAAATATTACAGTATTGTGGAAGGGAAGATAATAGTGTCAGAAAAATTACATAGTATGTTATAACTTGCACTATAGGAAAAGACACTGCTGATAATAACTTCCAAGACCTAGAAGCCTCTTTGGCTCTTTGACCACATAAAAATAAAAGCAGTACATGATGGTACCATAAAATTAAGTGGTAAACTTAAAGACTTAGTGGAAATATCTGGGTCTCAGGTTTATGGTTCACAAACTGTCTAGGGTCAAAATTACCCTTGAAAAAGCTCTTAATTTGCCCACACCAAAGCTAATTTTTTCTCCAGGATTACAAGAGAACACTAATGTCAGATGATATATTCTGCGTAAGTTTAGGGATTCACTGAACAAAAATTAGAGCATTTTAATTTTTATTTCTTGCTAAATATATGTGGTAGAATTTGGTTAAGTCACTCTACTATATAACCCAAAGAGTTAATATCCACTATATCTAAAGCAATCTCAAAAACAGATTAAGAAACAACAAATATTATGAATAGGGAACTGAAAGATTCAAATTGCCAGTAAACATACATTAAGGATACCATTCACGAGTAATTAGTGAAGTGCAAACTAGAATACATCAATTTCCACTAGCATGCATGTAAAGATGAAAAAGTCCAACCATATGGAAAGAGTATGGGAAAAATGATCACTTACAATGAGAGCAAAAATTCATTCTTTTTGGAAGGCAAATTAGCAAGACTGACCAAAATTCAAAATGTGTGTATCTTCTGACACAATCCCAAGTATCAATCCCATAGTAACACTAACACACAAAATTATGTAATAAAGATGTTCATTACTACTAATAGTATCAAAAAACTCAAATGTCTACCGATACTGGAAAGCTGAATTATGGTATTTGTATATATTTATGTGTTATGTATATATACAGATGTCTAAACACAGTGAACTGCTAAAGTTAAAGAATGAGTTAGATCTATATATACTAACAGAAAAAATACATGCCCCAAATCCCACAGCAAATGAAAAATGAAATAAAGAATTATCATGTAAGGAATAAGGAAGGTGCTTTCATTTTGAAACATTTTTGACTGTAACACACAATATAAAATACACAAAGACCCATAACACACATATATATAATTAAAATAAAAATTAAATGATACTTGGGGCACCTGGGTGGCTCAGTTAGTTAAGCTTCTGACTTCAGCTCAGATCATGATCTCACGGTTAGTGGGTTCAAGCCCTGCATCAGGCTTTGTGCTGACAGCTCAGAGCCTGGAGCCTGCTTCCGATTCTGTGTCTCACTCTCTCTCTCTGCCCCTCCCCCACTCATGCTCTGTTTCTCTCTCTCAAAAATAAACATTAAAAAATTTTTTTAATTAAATGATATTTAACCTTGCTTTTTTACAATAATTTTTCACTCTTTTATTTTTCTTAAATGCTGCTTGCAGCCCACTACATAAATACATCCAATTAATGTATCTCAGCCTTTGGTTTAAAAGAACACTCCTGTAGGATGTAGTTTTCTATTTAAGAATATAATAAATATATGTATATAACACACACATATATAACCACGTATATGTGCAGACACATTTGACATAATGAATAAAATGTACATAAAGGGGTCTGACAAAATCCCAAACTTTAAATAGCTGTTACTTCACAACTGAAAGGTACTGACTTTTCAAGACACTTGTTTTGTTGAGGGTTTTTTTTATTTTTGCAAGCATTTACATCTTTTATTTTAAAAAGAAAATGGAAGGAAATAGTCCAGAGTATAAAATGAAGTACTATTAAAAAGGAAATGGCAGATAAATGATCAGAATATGGAAGCAAAGTCAAAAGATAACTGGATGGTGGAAGCAGAGACCATGGAAATAAATGGTTTGCAATTAAATGAAAATACCCATGGTCAGATGACTTGGGAAACAGACAAAACTATATGCTCTAACAATTTTGTTGAACTGTACATGCTGAAGCACTTATTCTTTTTATGACCATTACCACTCTTATATTGCTTAAAGCAGTTGGGCACGCAGGAGGGTCAATGTCTGGGGCACCAGGATGGCTCAGTGGGTTAAGCGTCTGACTCTTGATCTCAGCTTAGGTCATGATCTCAGGGTCGTGAGATCAAGCCCCCGGTCATGCTGCATGCTGAGTGTGGAGCCACTTAAGAGTCTTTCTCTCCCCTATTCTCCACCCTCCTTCACATTCTCTCTCTTTCCTCTTTCTAAAAGACTAAAAATAAAATAAATAAAGAAGGGTCAATGTCTTCAAAGGCACTGAAAATTAACAATAGAAATAGAGATAGGTGCAACATCTCATCTCTACATCAAGGTGGAAAGAATCGAGACCTTGTAAATGTTCAGATTATTTGCTAATAACCGCAGCTTATGCTCTTACTGCTCTATCTTAATATTAGGGTAATTAAGCTTGCTTGATAAATAGTTTAAAGTCTTAAACTCTTTTTACAGAGGTAGCACAGGGGAACTGAAAGTTAATAATGCCATCATATTGACAAGTCTCACATTAAATACTAAAAATCCCAAATAGACCAGGAATATAAGACAAACATTCTGTAGAATGGGAGCAACAACCTCTAAGATAAATGTCCAAATGTTCTAAAACCTGATAAAGCATAAATGCTGAGAATGTTTTATAAGTCTATTTGAGAAAATGCAAACCTACACCCCTTATTTCCAGGTATAAGATAAAACACAGTTGTCTTAAGTTTCAACAATTAGCCAAATTGTGTCACTTACTAAATCCTGTGGTACAGTTCCTTACCTGTTCCAAATCCTGCACCAAGTCCAGTTCCCAGAGTCCCAGGTCCTGGTTTACTTCCGAAAATACTACTCCCACTGGTATTTGTGCCAAAACCTAGAAGGATAAAAGAATGAGTGGACTGTACTTTTAACACAACTCTCAAATTTCCTGTAGAAGGGAATTTTTAAAAAGGCAATCTGACCCTACACTTTGTATCTGTCAGTTAATAATATTCAGAAATCCTAAATGGTAGGCTAATTTAACCTTTTTTAAAAATTTTTCATTTCAATGCCTGTAAACAGACCCCCAGATCTTCCTATTTACTTAATTATATTTCAGACTTGAAATATTAAAGCAAAGTGATTGTGCTTGAGCATATACATTCCCTTTGTTAAGACTCAAACTTATTTTTCATGTTTAATTAATGGAAGATAAATAAATTCCCTCCAATTTTCACTAAAAATAAGACAGGGCACCTGGCTGGCTCAGATGGTAGAGCATGTAGTTCTTGATGTCAAAGGCTTCAAGGTTTTGAGTTTGAGTCCCATATTGGGTCTACAGATTAATTAACTTAAAACAACAACAACAACAACAACACATATTAAAAAAAATAAGGTAGTCAACAAATACACTTTACTGAATCTAAAGGTTCTTACTAATGGAAATTTATAAAAATTTCTACAGTAGCTTTGGTTTTGAACAGATGAATCCTGCATGGGCAGTAATGTGTGGCTGGCTGATCACACATGAGGAACTTTAATGGTGTCATACTCAACTCAATTCACAGGAGCACTCAAGGACTCAGCGAGCTGATATTAAAAAGACTAATGTATAAATAACTTTCAATGGGTTGAATTGTTTGATTATCAGAGATGATGGATAACTATACCATCTTCCTTCAATATGTCCAATCTTTTAGAGAAAATCCTAGGATTCCCCTTGAAAATCCACAGGTTTCCCCAAAAGAAACCTATACTGCATTACTGCCATTATTTTCCTTTTGTTCAGATACATCCACAAAGTTTCTGTACTCCTTTTGGACAGAACTATCAACAAACAGCTAATGAATATAGCATTCATCTCTTGGTTTTCTTCATAAAGATTTTAAGTAATCTCTACACTCAACATGGGGCTCTAACTCACAACCCTGAGATCAAGAATTGTATGCTCCATCTGCTTCGGATTGTGTGTGTCTCCCTGTCTCTCTCTGCTCCTCCCCCACACACACTGTCTCTCTTGTCTCTCAAGAATAAATAAATGTTAAAAATATTTTTTAAAAATTGTATGTTCCATCAAACTAAGCCAGCGAAGCACCCCTATCATTAATCTCTTTTCATAAGAGGAAACAAAAATCAATCAAACCTTGTTCATGAAACACTTGAAGTATTTTTAAAAGATATCATGGAGGGGAACACCTCTAAGAGAGAATGGTCTTAGTAAAGAATATCTTGGATTATATGACACTATCACCAACTAAGAATATTATATACTTAGCCATGCCAACATTTAGATTATTATTACAATAGAAAATGACCAGGAAAAAAGTCGAAGAATTTAAACAGTTTGAAAATGTATTTCTAATGTTACTTAGAAATACATGTGATCGGGGTGCCTGAGTGGCTCAATTGGTTGAGCATCCAAATTCAGCTCAGGTCATGATCTCGCGGTTCTTGAGTTCGAGCCCAGTGCCGGGCTCTGTGCAGATAGCTCAGAGCCTGGAGCCTGCTTCAGATTGTGTCTCCTTCTCTCTCTGCCCCTTCCCCACTCTTGATCTTTCTCTCTCTCTCTTTCAAAATAAATATTAAAAAAAGAAAAAAGGAAAAAAAAAAAAAAAGAAATACATATCATCAGGGGTGCCTCAGTGGCTCAGTCAGTAAAGCATTCAAATCCTGATTTTGACTCAAGTCATGATCTCATGATCAAGCCCCGTGTCGGGCTCCACACAGAGCCTACTTAAGATTCTCTCTCCCCCTCTTTCTGCTCCTCCCTTGCTCACGTGCTCTTTTTCTCAAAATAAAAAATTTTAAAGAAATGCAGGTAATCTGACATAATCTAATAAATTTAATTCATATATTCATTATTTTTCTTCAACTGTGCTAATTAATAGCTATGCCACAAAAGAGTACTACTACTCAAACACAATCAGTTTTTTATTTTAAAGAAAAAGAAAAAAGAAAAAACATTCTTGGAAATATTCTTTTTTGTTTTGAGTTAAAATTTAACTGGAAAGGATCTTCCATCCCCATAAACAGCAGAAAATAAGATACTTGTGAACTACCTCAAACCCACATGAGGGAAATAAGTCCCAACTTACACTGTTTATACCACACATTTCCTCAGATTCTTACTGACAAATGTTGATCAACTGTTATTTCAAAAACAATTTTTAAATTAAAATTAAAGATGATTAATGGTTAATTAATTTACAACAAAGGACCCAAGAATATACAATAGGGAAGGACAGTCTCTCCAATAAATGGTGCTAGAAAAACTGGACAGCAAAAGAATGAAACTGGACCACAATCTTACACCATACACAAAAATTAAATACTTGAACTGCAAGACCTGAAAATAAAACCCCAGAAGACAATATAGCCCATGAGCTCCCATGTAACATTTGTCATGGCAATGACTTTTTGGGTATGACACCAAAAGCAAGGACAACAAAGGCAGAAATATACAACAGGCACTGTATCAAATTTAAAAAGTTTCTGTACAACAAAGGAAACCATCAACAAAATGAAAAAGCAGACTACTGAATGAGAGAAAATATTTGCAAACCATACATCTGTTAATAGGTTAATATCCAAAATATATAAAGAACTCACCACGATAGCAAAGAAATAATCTAATTTAAAAATGGTCAGAGGATCTGAATAGACATTTTTCCAAAGACATACAGATGGACCAAAGACATATGAAAGGATGCTCAACATCATTAATCATCAGGGAAATGCAAATCAAAACCACAATAAGGGCTGCGTGACTCAGTTGGTTAAGCATCTGACTCTTGGTTTCAGCTCAGGTCATGATCTTTTAAGGTTTGTGAGTCTGAACCCTGTGCTGGGCTCTGCACTGATAGCACAAGCCTGCTTGGGATTCTCTCTCTCCCTCTCTCTGCCCATCTCCCACTTGCACATGCATTCTCTCTCTCCCTCTCAAAATAAATAATGAATGTAAAAAAATTTTTTACAATAGCCAAAATACTGAAAACAGTCCTAGTATCCACTGATGGATAAATGGATAAAGATGTGGTATCTACATACAATGGAATTTATTGTATTCATTCTCCTTTATTCAGCCATAAAGGAGAATGAAACATTGCCATCTGTGAAAACATGGATGGAATCTGAAAGCATTCTGCTAAGTAAATAAGCCATTCAGAGAAAGACAAAACTGCATGATCTCAATTGTATGTGTAATCTCATAAAACAAAAGATGAGCTTACAGATGCAGACAATAGATTGGTAGTTGCCAGAAGCAAGGAATGGAAGATGGGCAAAAAGGGTAAAAGGGGATCAAAAGGTAAAAACTTACAGTTATAAAATAAGTCATGGGGAGGTAATATACAGTATGGTGACTACAGTTAATACATATGAAAGTTGCTAAACTAGTAGATCCTAAACATTCTCATCATAAAAAAAAATGTATATATGGTGACAGATGTTAACTATTAACTAGACTTATTACAGTGATCATTTCACAATATATGCAACTATCAAATCCTTATCCCAGAAACTAATGTTATATTTCAATGATACCTCAATTTAGAAAAATAAGCTTAAAGGAAAAAGATATTTAAGTATTCAAATAGCTCCTTAACTGTCCACTTAACCATACAGCATGGAAGAATCACTGACATATTGCCCAGCATCATCTCATTATTACACAAAGAATCGACTTTTTTAAACCTTTGCTCCAATGTATAAACATTCTGTCTGTAATTCCTCTCCTGAAACAATTCTATTCCTCCATTCATTCAGAAATTCAGACACTATCTCATACTCACTTAATCTTAAGCTTGTCCCTGCCAGGAATATTTATTAAGAAAATGGGCTGATGATTCTAAAGAATGACTTAAGGATCTTGCAATACCAATTGTAGCAGTATGTATCCCAATTTTTTTTAGGTATGCCAACTTTTAACTCTGTGGATTCGCCAGCATCAGAATAAAACAAAACCCCATAATGGATAATGTGTGACCAACAAAAATTTAGCAACACTCTAAATCTCTATATTATATTATTCCATTTCCAGATTTGTTACATGGCTTATTTCCAAGTCAGAAGATTCTTATGCCCACAAACTCAAAGCTGACAGCTTCCCAAGACAAGAAGAGTATCAGTAGATCTGGATCTCTCAAGGGTGGTACGGAAATTTAAATTCACCCAAGAATAGGACAAAGCTACCTCACAATCCCCATCTGACTCAGAGGGAATCATTACTCTTAGGGCCCATTTGTTCATCCTTTAAGTCATTTAACCAAGTTTTAGTGAGCACCTATGCTATGCCAGGCACTAGATCAACACTGGGGATTAAAAAAGAAAAAAAATTAGGACAATTCAGGTTCATCACAAAAGTTAGTGAGGCATTTTAGATAAAAATGAAATACTTCATTTTTATGCCGTTGAACAGAAATACATATGTATATTTATCCAACAACAACAACAAAAAATCTCCAAACAGATCAGAAATCTGCAACCAAGGAAGAACATCAAGTGTATTTCAGAAGTCCAGCCCATTTCATCATTTTAGCCTATATAAGCAGATAAAAACAATGTTTCTGAACACGAAGCATGCTACAAAAAAACATGTATTTTCAAAGGAAGGGAAAAGTGGCTCTTGAGGGGTTAAATGAATCACAGATATACAATGGTTTATGGCCCTTCAAAGGGCCATAGTACATAAACAGATACACAATGCATATGCGGTATTAAAATCTTTTAGGATGAGATGACTAAGAAACAACTGGTCTAGGGGCGCCTGGGTGGCTCCGTTGGTTAAGCGTCCAACTCTTGATTTCAGCTCAGGTCATGATCTCACGGTTTGTGGATTCAAGCTCAAACTAAAGACTCTGAGATGAAGAGTGGCATGCTCTTTCAAATGAGCCAGCCAAGTGGTCCACTGATCATGTCTTTTCACTCATCTCCCACTAAGTATCCCCAGTGCCTAGTGATGTTATCTGGTAGTAAAATCCTTAACAGATATTTAAACTAGTATTTCCCTTAGTCATGAAATTAATTTTCCTTATCTAACACAAATTATGTTAATAATTTGTTAAAAATTTGATTAAAAACTTAATTAGGTAGTTACAGAAGACATTTACAATAATGTTCTATTAAACAACTCTCATTTTTCCAGCATTATCTGTGAAAAGTAGTTTAGGGCTGTATTTTAATCATTATTCAATCTTATCTTTTATTTATTTTATTTTCTAATTTTTCTATAATGAATACATATTCAAAAATAAACTTTTGCAGCTGAAGGAAAGTTTTAACTTCCAATAAGAATCATGAAATCTCAAAAACACAAAAAAAAATCAAAACAAAAATAACAATAAAAACCTTTAAAAAAAAAAAAAAATCAACAAATTTGTATACTACTTCTCCATTTGAAACCTGGCCTAAAAGAATGTTATCTCAAGGCTTTTGGTTGGCTGAGTTGGTTAAGCATCCAAATCTTGGTTGCAGCTCAGGTCATGATCTCATAGTTTTATGAGTTTGAGCCCTATCTGGCTCTGTGCTGGCAGCGCAGAGTCTGCTTGCGATTCTCTCTTTCTCCCTCTCTCTCTCTGCCCCTCCCCTGCTCGTGCTGTCTCTCTCAAAATAAACTTAAAAAAAAACAAACAAACACAGAATATGTTATCTCAACTGAATGTGTTTCATTTATGGTTTTTCAACTATTGGTGGGGTAATCCAAAGGAAATGTACTTCCTTATTTTGAAAAAAATTCTATATCCATTGGAAAAGCAACTTCTACAAGGTAATACTGCATGTGTTCACGTGTTGAAAGGCCCATTTTATCCAAAGCAGGGAGTTAGGAGACTAATAATGAGGTAATGCAATTTATATGCTTTCTAAGTATGTCAACCCATGTCCATGATATTAAACCTTCTCCTCTGGTACCTCACATCAAGCCACAGCTTACCTGAGAATTTTTTAATATTCCCAATCATATGAATCAGGAGAATGATGTGTGGTATAGTCAGTGTAACTTTAAAAGAGTCAAACCTGCTTTTTTATATGTACCAAAATTGGAAGTGTTTGTATTGGTTCCTAAAGTCAGGGTTGGTTTGTTACCAAAGAGCCCGCCACTGGTTGTACCAAATGAAGGAGCACTGGTTGTGCTGGTTCCAAATGTAGTAAGCTTGTTATTTCCAAACAGGGTCTAAAAAGAACAAAATACAGGAAAATCTTAAGTACTATAAAGACACACTTCAAACAGTAAACAGAGGTTACCTCAGGTATACTGGACTGGGTGTGAAGTGAGAGAAGAATGTCATAACTTTTATGAAAAAGTAGGAGGATGATGAATAAAGACTATCAGAAAAATATACTAATCTGAGCAAGATGGACTTTACAGAGCATGCTTCTAGCCTGAGAAGTTAACGGCAACCCTTCAGCAAACACAATATTTCAGTGGGGCAAAGAAAATAAATAAAGAATTTTTGTAACCTGGTAACAGAAATGTTCATGTATTTAATTTGCCAGCAGAAATAGTTACAATAAAAAATTTAAACATACTAGGATATGGATGAGCCTTTAAAACGTTATGCTAAGTAAACGTGGTCACAAAAAACTACATATTATGTGATTCCATGTGTATGAAATGTCCAGACTAGATAAATCTGTAGACCACTGGCTTGAGGTTAATTGGAGGGCAAATGAGAAGTGACTATTAATAGGTATGAGGTTTCTTTTTATTAAGGTGATGAGTATGTCCTAAAATTGACTATGGTGATAGTTCCACAATCTGCTGGTATACTAAAAACCACTCAATTATAAAGTTTAAAAGGGCAAATTATATGGCATTAGGATTATATCTCAATAATTGGTTACTAAGAACTTTTTAAAGCATTATATAATTTTCTCAATTTCTCATCTCAATTAGCTACCCAAAGAAAAGTTAAGAAATAAGAGATTTCAATTTCCCTGAAAATCATGTTTTGAGATTTTTTTCTTTTTTTTTTCTATTTATACACAACAGCATGTTCAAAGCTTTTTTAAATAGGTAAATAATACAGATTGGCTGTTCTATATCCATTCTCACATAGTTTAAGTGGCAATACAGAATTTACTATTATTCTTAGGTTAAGTGTACTCCTAAATAGTTGTTTACTTAAATGACTGAACAGGGAACATAATCCAGTTAAGCCTCCAGCTGCATGAGAATCATGAGATTACCAACAGCTTTAGCAACTTGGAATTCTTAACTCTCAATCATACCAACCTATCACCCCAAACAGAGAATAGAGTATAGGAATTAAAAATTACCTGACTTAAAAATGAAAGCACTTCAATTTAGACTCAACAATTTAACCAACTGGAGTGATATCGTGCTATCAGAAGTAAGGCACAGAAGAGGCAAAGATGTTTAAAAAGGAACTTATAACTGGAAAATTAACCTACTAAAGTTACCTATTTTTGTACCAAATAGCTTTTAATTACTATTAGCATCAAGTCTTATACCCAATAAAAATATTTGAAAAATAGTTAAATCTTTCTTGGAAATTCATTTAACAAATTTATTCGTATCTTCAAATTAGATCAACTGTAGAAACCTACCGAACCGACAGCACCAAATCCAGTATTGGGCTGCCCAAAGAGACCTGTTCCTGTTCCAAATGCTGTCCCAGTGCTGGTGTTTGTGGCTGTCCCAAAAAGACCTCCAGGCTGTGAGGCTTGGGTTACTCCAAATAAACCCTGCAAAAGGTAATCTACATTAAAAGATATCCTACAACAGTCAGTTTTAAGAGTCTTAGATTAATAACAGTTGCCATTTTTAAAAAGTTTATAGGACAGATACTATGCTAAATACATAAAGCATTTTTTTTTCACAACAACCCTGCCGAGCAGGGCCATTAAACATACACATACACATACACATACACACACACACACACACACACACACACACACACACTCAAGAAAGTTAAAAAATTGCCCAAGATGTCATAGCTCCTGAGTGACAGGACCAGAAATTCATATCTACATCTAACCCTGATGAGTTCCAATGTCCTAGCCAGCAGAATAAGACTTTATACTAACTCTTATGCTCTAAGAAATAACAGGATTATAACACTGAAAACAAAATATAACAGAATACTCCACTGGATATTCTTTCTTGATTTGTCAAAGATGAGTTGGCTTGGGTTCCTTTCTATCTTTGTTGAATGTCTTTATCATGAAAGGGTGTCAAATGCTTTTTCTGCACCTACTGAAGTGATCATGTGGTTTTGTTTATTATGTTGATTAATTTTCCTATGTTGAATCAACCTTCTGGAATGAATCCCACTGAATCATGATTGTCATCTTTTACACGTTGCTGAATTTGGTTTACCAGTATTTGTAAGATTTTTGGGGTGTGAGGGGCGCGCCTTGTAGCTCAGTCAGTTAAGAGTCCAACTTTGGCTCAGGTCATGATCTTCGCAGTTCTTGAGTTCAAGCCCCGCGTTGTGCTCTGTGTTGACAACGCAGAGCCTGGAGCCTACTTTGGATTCTGTCTCCCTCTCTCTCTGCCTCTCTCCTGACCATGCTCTGTGTCTCTCTCTCATCCTCCCTCTCTCTCTGCCTCTGCCCAATGCACATGCACTCTCTCTCAAACTAAATAAAAAAAAAAAAATACAGAAACTGGTAATGACTCAGACTTTCTCTTTTGCTTTTTGCACAGAAATAGCAATTATCCAATATGGCTCTCAGTTTTAGTGCTCTCTTATTTATTTTAATGATCTACACATCTTTGCCTAACTCCACGTAAGGAAACAAACAGAGAATATGCTGAAATACAGACAGTAATGTGTAAGTATTTTTTGCTATACTCCATAGAATGGATAGAGCCAATGTCCTAAGGTATAACCTTTAGTGGCCAATTCTAGCACATGAAGCAGCTTCTAGTGATAAGGAAATATGCTTGGAAAGAATAAGTGACTTGGCTCAACAGCCCCTCAATGAGGAGGGAGTAGAGCCTGGACTAGAATCCAGGTTTTAATTATTTACATTTTGCTCTTTCCTTTCTATATACCATCAACTCTTAAGAACTACAGTAGAGGTAAAACTTGCTACTTTAACATGATTAGAAGCCTCATTGCTTAGCTCTCTGAATAAGATCTGGAGTTAATTAAAGACCTGTTTCCTGGGACACTGAAGTGACTCAGTCGGTTAGGCAACCAACTTCAGCTCAGGCCATGATCTCGCGGTTTGTGAGTTTGAGCCCCGCATTGGGCTCTGTGCTGACAGCTCAGAGCCTGGCACCTGCTTCGGATTCTATGTCTTCCCCTCTCTCTGTCCCTCCCCTGCTCATGCTCTGTCTCTCTCAAAAATAAACAAATGTTTTAAAAACTTTTTTAATTAAAAAAAAAAAAAAAAAAAAAAAAGGACCTGTTCCCTTACCATGCTATTGGTGCTTGGCTGTCCTAGTGTGCTGGTATTACCAAAGGAAAAGCCAGTGTTCTGGGTGGTTGTGGCCTGGCCAAATGGTTTACTGAAGAGGCTAGAAGTCTGCTGATTCTGTTGTCCAAACAGACCACCCGGATTTGTTCCAAATCCAGTTGTACCTTTCAGAAAAAAGAAATAAGGTGAAAATAAATGGAGAAAAAAAATCCCTCAAATCTCACATTATTCAGTTACAATATGGATAGAACAGCATTAATACAATACAGTATGAATGCAACAGCATTAATATTCTTGATTACACATCTAAATGATGTAGGAAAATTTCATTCACTACTCAAAAGAGATAACCATTTCACTTCCCATCCTTTTCCACCTAGGTCATTTAGTTCAGATGTTAATTCCTACAATACTCTGACCTCAAGAACCCTGGCTGAGCTAAGTAATCTTCATTTTGAGTTCAAAACTTTCTTCCATTTACAAGATATCATACTAAACTCAGAATCTATATGTGTATTTTGATGTTGTTAGATTAAATTTTTATTGAGAACAGAGGCTTTCTATTTCCAGCATAGGATACACTGTACTCAATAATGAATATGTGGCTAAACTACATCACAGAATACCAAGACTGAAATGAATGTTAAATGTCACTTAAACATGTATTTATCTGTAGATTCGTAGATATGTAAAAATCTCTGTAAAAGGTCACGAAAAAGTCCAACTTTCGCTTGTTTCTAGGGAGGGAAAATAGTAGCTAGGGGAAGCAAATAAGATACCTTAGTATAAGTTATAGACTTTTTTGTGTCTTGTAATCTTTTTATCATACATATGTATTACCTGTACCAAAGTAATATTTTCATAAGGTAATTTAGTCATCATCGTAGACTTCCCTCTTTCACATCCCACATAAAAGCAAACAGCAAATTTCATCAGTTCTATATTCATAATGGGTCTAGCATCTGACATGTTTACCACCTCCATCTCCTGGGCCAAGTCACCAACATCTCTCATGTAAATGAAGCAATAGCTTTTCTAATTCATTTGTTTTCACCCTCTCACCCTTAACAATCTTTTTCTTGAATTTTTGAAGTTGAAACTCAATGTTATATTAGTTTCAGGTGTACAACACAGTGACTGGAAAAATCTCTAAATTATGCTATACTCACGAGTGTAGCTACCACAATCTATTCTTAATATAGCAGCCTTTAGAATATCCTTCACTCATAATCACATGACTTCTCTTTCTAAAACTTTTAATGGCTTCCTAACTCAAATAAAAATTCAAATCTTGACAATGACCCGCAATGTACTATAAAATATAGTCCCTATATCCCTTAATACTTTCCCCTCCTTGATCCTCATTTCTATGGAAAAAACTCAGGGTTTTTAGACTTATAGCTTCCTCTGGCTGGAATGCTGTTCCCCCAGAAATCTGTATAGCTTTATCCTTCACCACCTTCAGATAGGTCACCTTCCAAATGTTACCTTATCACTGAGGCCCTTTTTAACCATCTCCACTTACTGTATATCTCTCCATCCCCACCTATATATCAGATACTCTATTCCTCCGACATCCCTGAATTATTTTTCTCCATAGCATTTATCAAAAGATGACAATTATGTTTTACTTTTAGTTGCGTGTCCCTCCTCAATATGATGCCAAATGCTTACTAGTTCCAAAGGCTGTTTTGTTCTGACCATATGCAAAGCCTGAGTTAGTAGTAGAGGAGCTGAAGAGTCCTGTTGCACTGGAAGTTGCTGGAGAAGACCCAAACAAGCCAGCTGTGGTACCTGCTCCCACCTGGTTCTGCGGGCCTTTCCGGTTAGCCTGATAATCCTCTAAACGAAGTTCCTAGAGGAAGAAAAAGCAGACTTCCAATCTTAATATGCAGCCAAAAAAATTTTTTTTAGGAAACTAAATATTTAAATTTAGAATTCAATGTCCATGTTCACACAGGATTCAATGTCCATGTTCACAGAGGACCCATAACAAAAAAAAAAAGAGAACTACAGAACATTAACTTATCATCATTACAGAAAAACACTTTCAACAGTGTAGAGTGGACACTAAAATCCATACCATATTTACTAAAACCACAGGCCAAAGGACCAACCATAACTTAATTTTAATTTTCTTTTAGAAACAGCAATAGTTCCTTTTAGTACAATGCTATATAATGTATCTACTCCCATCCCAAAAATTAAAAAATGAGCTAGAAAGATCAAGGATTCTGGACTGGGATGAGAGGTTTCAGAAAATTAGGTAAAAAAGGTATAAAGTTTAACAGTTCTATCTCACAAGCCAGGGTGTTTCTTTATACTCCAATCAATCAAGTATGGTATGGGTTGCAGAGGAACCAACAGCTACAATTAGGGATGACACTCAAATATACAACACACTACCACGTCATAGTATGGATGGACTAACTGTAACTTCATGCAACGCCATGGATAAATCTCATAATGTGGAAAAGCAGACTTAGTACATAATGAAAGATTCCATCTATATAAAGTTCAAACTGAGCAAAACATGGGCTGTCACAACAGTAGTTAGCTTTGGAGGGAGGAAGGAGTCATGCCTAGGGAGACAGGACACAGGCAGGACATCAGGAATGCTGCTAATGCTCAGTGACTTGATCTGGATCCTGGTACCATAGGTCTGCTCACTTGGTGAAAACTTACTATGTTATACACTTATGACTTTGCATGAGTTTACTAAAATCATGTGGATGTCACATACACACACATTGCCCAGTGTAATATGAACATACAATCACAATGGACTACTAACAGAACTATACCAGTACAAACAAGATGAATATTGCCCTTCCTAAAACAAGATATGTATAGATAATACATTAATTTTTAAAAATTATTTGGTGGTGGAGCACCTTGGTGGCTCAGTCAGTAGAGCATGTGGCTCTTGATCTTGGTCAGGGCTGTAACTTCAAGCCCCACACTGGGCACAGAGCTTACTTAAAAAAATTTAGTTGTAAGTCTTTTACATAAACCCAGTGTGAACCACTGATCCTAGAAATACCAAAAATATTTGTAAAAGTTGCTTTCCAATAGAATAAGGCTGGGCTGATATTCAATATTGCATTTTACTGACCTCTAGAGACTTGCTTTCATATTCTTTCATAGCAGTAATACACTGGTGCTTGGTACTGATGTTAGTGCTAACTCCAGCTTTAACCATAGTATCTGTACCAGTTGGAGGCTGTAAAGGAACATAAAGGCAAATTTGAAAGTCTAAAGCAAATGTCTAAGTCCAAACTTTAAATCCTACTCTCATAGACACAATTCTTCAACCACTGAACTCTCCATACTATCTAGTTTTATAGGTCTTTTGCTAAATGAAAATTTCAAGGTTGCTTAATTAAATACACTGTGTTTCTTATCTCCCCTCTCCCTACAAGGTTATCTAACTAAATAAATCAATCTCAGTAATAGTTATCACAGATATTAAGCCCATAACCAAGCCATTTGATTATAAACTAACATATACTTAATACTGTAGGCATAAGAAAAACTTCACCCAATTTACCAACATGTACATTTAAACCTGAATCTCTGAGTTCTATCTCCTACTCTGCTCTAAAGTGTCTGCCTTATTTTATATATTTCTTTCTTCTTTCTTTCAAAGTGCCTGCTTTATAAATGTTGTTGCATTTAAGAAACATGGAAGCCTGGTTTTCCCCCCTACAATCTTAAGAGAAAAAGGCATAATATATAACCAAACATTTCTACTAGTATTGTCAGTTTTCTCAATTATTACACTTTCCATGAAACAGCACACAGTATTTTTCCCTATTATTTATAAAATTTAGGTTTCTAAATTCAGTATCATGACTTTACCACTTTGCCTGAGAAATTTTTCATTTCCTGGAGTATGTTTTAACAAGAAGTTAAGTCAAGACCTACTTTCACCAGAGTTTCTTTAGGCAAACTGCACCTCCAGCCTATCCTAAGTATCTCCTAACCAATCACATCAAATTGTATCTTATATCAAGTAATATCCCATACATTTTTATAAACAAATCTTCCATTCTAAACCTCTGCCCAAGTCCTCTTAAAAAAGCCAAAGAAAACATAAAACTCTACTGCCCCATTTTGCCACTTCATCAACAAGTTTTATTTTTCATTGGCACACAGAATATTTATGAGTTATTCCGTAAAACTCCTTAAAAAGTCCCTATTTTCAATAATAATGGTTGAGCATTCAGCCATTCCTTTAGAGCCAAGTTATGAATGCAATAAATACAAGTTCAACATCATTACTACCTACTGTAATCAACCTTGTGAATATAAATTTGATTGGGTTGGGGCACCTGGGTGGCTCAGCGGCTTAAGCGTCTGACCGGCTCAGGTTATGATCTCACGGTTCATGGGTTCGAGTCCCACATCGGGCTCTGTGCTGACAGCTAGCTCAGAGATTGAAGCCTGTTTCGGATTCTGACCCTCTGTCTCTGACCCTCCCCTGCTCACACTGTCTCTCTCTTTCTCAGAAATAAATAAAACAGTAAAATTTTTTGATTGGGTTAATGTATTAATAATTATTAATGAATTAATAATTAACAAATTGAATTATGATTCAATACACATAATTCAAATACACATAATCTAGATTTATGTTTCATAACTTTTCCTATTTATTATATCACTATTTACAGACTTTGTTCTTAACATATCTTAAAAGAGTGAGACTAAGCTGTGCAGAACTGGAAAAAGGAGAAATTTTATGATTCATCTTGCAAAGAGATATACAAATGGGAGAGTCATATATTCTACAAAGACTGGAGGAAAAAATACTTACATTAAACTTAATTGTAGTCCCAGTCGGAGCAGCTGTAAAACTACTCGGCCCAAAGAGGGAGCCAGATGTACTACCAAAAGGATTGGAGGTGGTATTTGTAGTACCAAAAAGTCCCCCACTGCTGGTACTTGTTCCAAAATCTGTAAATTAGAAAGAAAAATAAGACGGCAACAGTTAAGAATTTAAGAATCTTTAAGACTTTGAATTGGGCTGTAGCACTATAGCAGCATTACTTTCACATCCTCAAATTTTCTATCTTTCAAATTGCCCTAGTAAGTATCTTCAGACATTTCATATAGACATGGACATAATTCTAGGCTCAAAATTTTGAAGTGAAACAAAGTCTAAATCCCTTTGTCAGCTAAATGTCTATAAAGCTCTTCTTGGGTAAATTTGGAAGACAAGTGAGAAAAAAAAATAACTATTTCATCACAAATTTTATTTCATTTTTCCTTCCTTGTTAAGACTACATGCTGAATAAACCCATCTTTCTGAAAATATCACAACAGATATCAACAAGGGTCACAGTATATTTTATTTACGTAATACATATTACATTAGTACAAACCCCTACACAAAACCAAAAATTTCAAAACATACAAATGGTTCTATTAGGACAAACAGGTTAATACAAAATTTTGCCCAGAAAAGTAATTTAGAAAAATTATTAGGCATCTTGATAATTTTACAGAATAAATCCTGATTACATTACTTTTCCAAAAAGCCGAGTTTCAAAAAATTCCATAAAAGTGAATTTAACTGTTATCTAATATATTTTTCAAAGTAAGAGATATTAGTTTCAAGAAGTTGTACAAAGGGTGCCAGAAATGTCAGTAAACAAAATTATCACATCCTAATTACCAATCTGAGAGGAATGTAACTTCTCACTGGCAAACTCTTTACTACAAACATGTCCTGATGTATGGTATAAGGTAAACAGGCACATCTCTTTTGAATAAGAACTTTAGATTCCATTGTACATTGTCATCATTAACTATTTCAATACCCTACAACCTTCCCTTTGCGAAATATTGATAGCTGGCTAACATTCATTCTGCTATACTTTTGTGCTGGGAATGCATCAACTCACAGAGCACACCTGTTCAACTAGTAGTGGCTGTGTGGAGAAGTATCCCCAGGCCACATTTAGACTTAGAAAGAAACCATCAATTAAAAACATCTGCCATGGATAAGGAACGGAAGAAAAACCATGTCATACCCAGTATTTGTCATTTATAACAAATTTGTCTCTTATAACAAATGTGAAACAGAGGCAAGGAGGTGCCTCTGCAGCACAGTGTGGCTGACTACATGTATAACTCCTTGAAATTCTCCTAACACCTATGACATTACTCTGACCCGGCTTTTCATACAATCTCTGGTCATTCTGTATCAGGAGACTCTTCCTCTGCATATCCCTTAAATAATAGTGCTTCTCAGATTTCCACTCTTGGGGGATGTACCCACCTCCCTCATTTCCAGCCTATTAAACTTTACAATACATTTTGAAGATTTCCTCTCCCCATGTTTTTGCCATTTGGTGGAGAAAGGAGGTAAATGAATACAGGCAAAAGAAGAAGAAAGGGTATATTCAATAAGCAAATCATATTGTTAGATGCAAAAGTCCAATGATGTCCTACTTACTTCCAAAGCCAGTTGGTTTATTTTGTGCAAAGGCATTGTTTTGGGATGAGAAGAGACTGGTCCCTGTACTTGCAGTTCCAAACAAGCTATTTGATGTTCCTGTTGATGTGCCAAACCCAAAGCCAGTGCTTGTAGAAGTAGCTGGCTGACTAAATGAGTTAGTACCAAATAATCCTCCTGGAGAGATCGAGAGGGGGAAAAACAGTTAAATAGATGAATTGGAACCACTATATGAAGTCCTGTATCAGCTACAAATAAACCAACTGTATTCTAAGTAAAACCCCTACCTGGTTTGGTCTGTGAATTTCCAAAGAGGCCTCCAGTATTGTTGCTAGAACCAAATGCAGATGTTCCAAAAGCCCCTCCACTAGTAGTACCAAAACCAGTATCTGAAAAAGCAAAATCCAGGGTCAAAACAAAATCTTAATTGGGTTACCCAATGAAAAAGGATTTTAATATTTCTTAACATTCTGCATTTGAATAGAATCACTGGTCTTCTCTGAAAATGATTTTTTCAAAAGTCCATCATACCACAAATTACAGACTTAAAATTAAGCCACAGATATTGTATTCATTGCCCCAGGTTAAAAAAAAAAAAAGTGGGGGGCACCTGGGTGGCTCAGTTGGTTAAGCATCTAACTTCGGCTACGGTCATGATCTCGTGGTTCGTGGGTTCGAGCCCCACATGGGGCTCTGTGCTGACAGCTCAGCGCCTGGAGCTCTTTCAGATTCTGTGTCTCCCTCTCTCTCTCCCCCCCTCCCCCACTCATGCTCTGTTTCTCTCTGTCTCAATAATAAATAAAAAACATAAAAACATTTTTTAACTGTTTTTTTTTTTTAATGTTTTATTTACTTCTAGGAGAGAGAGAGAGAGAGACAGCGCGAGCAGGGGAGGGTCAGAGAGAGAGGGAGTCACAGACTGAAACAGGCTCCAGGCTCTGAGCTGGCAGTCAGCACAGAGCCCGATGCGGGGCTAGAACCCACGAACCGCGAGATCATGACCTAAGCGAAAGTCGGACACCTAACCGACTAAGCCACCCAGGCGCCCCAAAACATTTTTTTAAAAAGTGAAAGAGGCGTGACTTTTGAATAAAGTTATTTATAGATGTTGATGGTTAAAAAAAAAAAAAAGAGTGCTAAATAATACCAAAAGGACTGCAAAGGTGCAAAGGTAACTAGTGATTAGGAGATAGAAATGAAAGTAAAATCGTAAGAATTAAGGTGTTCAACTCTTTCCAGTGACCATATGTTCTACAGTCACTGAGACAGATGGTCCTTATTTAGGAGAGCACTTCACAATGACCTGGGAAGGGTTTTCAAAATAGACATGTTCATGTTCCAACCTGGGATTCTAATTCCATAGTTCTAGGACAGAAAATATGTTCTTTAAACAAAAAAACAACAAACAACAACAAAAAAAAAACAGGCGCCTGGGTGGCTCAGTTAGTTAAGCGTCCAACTTGACTTCAGCTCAGGTCATGATCTCATGGTCTGTGGGTTCCAGCCCTTCCAGGCAGCCTGGAGCCTGCTTCAGAGTCTGTGTCTCCCTCTCTCTGTCCCTCCTCTGCTGCTCATGCTCTGTCTCTCTCTCTCAAAAATAAATAAACATTAAAAAAAAAATTTTTTTTAAACAAAAAGTGAACAAAAATAACCCTCCAAAAGTGACTCTGATGGGCACTCTTCATTAGAAACCAAGGACCTGGGGCAGCTGGGTGGCTCAGTCAACTAGGTGTCCAACTTCAGCTCAGGTAATGATCTTGTGGGTCGTGAATTCAAGCCCCGTGTCAGGTTCTGTGCTGACTGCTCAGAACCTGGAGCCTGTTTCAGATTCTGTGTCTCCCTTTCTCTCTGCCCCTCCCTTGCTTGCTCTCTGTCTCTCTCACAAAACTGAATAAACATTAAAATTTTTTTATTAATAAAAATAAAATAAAATAAAATAAAAATCAAGGACCTAAGGGTGCCTGGGTGGCTCATTCAGTTATGTGTCACGCTTTGGAGCAGGTCATGATCTCACAGTTGGTGAGTTTCAGCCCCACATAAGGCTCTATACTGATGGTGTGGAGCCTGCTTGGGATTTTCTCTTTCTCTCTGTCTCTCTCTGACCCTTCCACACTCTCTCAAAATAAATAGATACACTTAAAAGAGGTGAACAAACAAAAGCCAAGGACCTAGATGTACAGGGTATTTTAAGAAGAGGTCAGAAGAGAGTTGAAAAAGTTTTCCTCTATTGTTACAATCTTCTCCAGTTAAGAGAAAACTTCTGGGGATTTGCATTAAAACATTCTGTTCAAATGCTTATCTCTCCTTAAAAAGAGAAAAGATAAAAACAAGACAGGGTGGGGTGGGGTATGTGTGTGTGACCTGTGTCACTTAGTTGGTTGGTTGAGTGTCCAACTCTTGATTTCAGCTCAGGTTATGATCCCAGGGTCATGAGACTGAGCCCTGCTTAAGATTCTCTCCCTCAACCTCTGCCCCTCTTCCCCATTCATGCATGTTCTCTCTCTTTAAAATAAAAGTAAATAGGGGCGCCTGGGTGGCTCAGTCAGTTAAGCGTCCGACTTCAGCTCAGGTCACGATCTCACCATTCCTGAGTTCGAGCCCCATGTCAGGCTCTGTGCTGACAGCTCAGAGCCTGGAGCCTCTTTCAGATTCTGTGTCTCCCTCTCTGACTCTGCCCCTCCCCTGCTTGTGTTCTGTCTGTCTCTCTCCTGAAAATGAATAAACATTAAAAAATATATATTTAAAATAAAAATAAATAAAATACAATAAAATAAAAAACAAACAAGACTAGTAAAATGCTGACCTGCTGAAGCTAGGAAATAAGTACATGAGAGTTCATTACACCATTCCTTCTACTTGTATAAGTATAAAATTTTTAATTAAAAGTTCAAAAGAGAGTGAGTGTTGTTACACGCAACTAGTGTCATGTACAATACTAAGTGGAAGGGGAAGTGGATCTTAGGAGGGCTGCTGGGGATTAGGGGCTTTGATATCTTAACAGTTTTGCCTCTGAATATTATTCACAGAGCAAATCTCAGAGCAGTTATTTAATAACTACATTTTTTACTAAATATAAATAGATTATTTCCTGGTCTGAAAATCTTTAACACACTTAACTTTTTGCTACAAGAACCAATTAATAAAATATTTCAAGTATGGGGTACCTAGCTAGCTCTTCAGTATAGCATGTGACTCTTAGTCTCAAGGTCATGAGTTCAAGCCCCATGTTGGGTCTGGAGCCTACATTTCAAGTACCTTCTTTTTTTTATTTTAATGTTTATTTATTTGTGTGTGTGTGTGTGTGTGTGTGTGTGTGTGTGAGAGAGAGAGAGAGACAGAGACAGAGAGAGAGAGAGACAGAGAGAGAAACCATGCTCGAGAAGAGGGGGGGGCAGAGAGAGGGAGGGACAGAATCTGAAGTAGGCTCCAGGCTCTGAGCTGTCACCACAGAGCGAGACACAAGGCTGGAACCCATGAACCATGAGATCATGACCTGAACCCAAGTCGGACACTAAGCTGACTGAGGGACCCAGGCATCCCACAAGTACCTCTACTAATGTTCAAAGAAACACAGAAACTTGAAACTTATTTCTATTTTCTTAAAAAATTTTAACAAGATCTTATCATACAGTCATGAAAACAAAAAACTTTTAAGTGTATTTATTTTGAGAGAAGGAGAGTGGACAGGGGAGGGGCAGAGAAAGTAGAAGAAAAAATCCCAGGCAGGCTCCACACTGTCAGCGCGGAGCCTGACGCGGGGCTCACAAACTGTAGATCACGACCTTACTGGAAACCAAGAGTTGGACGCTCAACCAACTGAGCCACCCAGATGCTCGTCAGTCATTTTTTAAAAACAGAATTAGTGATGGTGGGCATCTTTAATTCTGATTTCTTTTTTAAAATATTTGTTTATTTCTGAGACAGATTGTGTGGAGAAGGGGCAGAGAGAGGGAGACAGAAGATCCAAAGCAGGCTCTGTCCTGACAGCAGAAAACTCAATGTGGGGCTTGAACCCACAAACTATGAGATCATGATCTGAGCTGAAGTTGGACACTGAACTGACTGAGCCACCCAGGTATCCCCATCTGGTCATTTTTCAAAAAAAATTTGTTATAAAGACCAAAGTATGAATAAAATTCCTATCTAAAGCTATCAGAATGGATTTGTTTTTAAAAATGTATGTAATCAAGTATAATTAACACACAATGTTACCTTAGTTTTGGAGTTTCATTCCTTTCAGACTCTGTATTTAAGAGTCTGTTGTTTTGTCCCTTTTATCGTTGTTCATTTGTCTTTTTTGTTTCTTAAATTCCACATATGAGGGGCGCCTGGGTGGCTCAGTCGGTTAAGCATCCAACTTTGGCTCAGGTCATGATCTTACGGTTCGTGGGTTCAAGCCCCATGTCGGGCTCTGTGCTGACAGCTCAGACCCTGGAGCCTGTCTTCAGATTCTGTGTCTCCCTCTCTCTCTGACCCTCCCCTGCCCATGCTCTCTCTAGCTCTCTCTCAAAAATACATAAAACATTAAAAAAAAATTTTTTTTAATTCGACATATGAGTGAAATCATATATTTGTCTCTCCCTGACTTATTTCACTTAGCATTATACCTTCTAGGTCCATCCGTGTTGTTGCAAATGGCAAGATCTTATTCTTTTTTATGACTACACTGATCTTAGCCAAAAGGCTAAGTGATCTTTTTTTGACTAATATTCCATTGTATATATACACCACATCTTCTTTATCCACTCATTTATCTACAGATACTGGGTTGTTTCCGTATCTTTGCTATTGTAAATAATGCTACAATAAACATAGGGTTATATATATCTTTTCAAATTGGTATTTTGGTTTTCTTTGGGTGAAGACCCTGTAATGGAATTACTGAATCTTAAGGTAATTTTACTTGTAATTTTTCAGGAACTTGCCTACTATTTTCCACAATGTCTGCACATTTCACATTACCAACCACAGTGTACAAGGGTTCCTTTTTCTCCACGTCTACACCAACATTTGTTATATCTTATGTTTTTTATTTCAGCCATCAGAATGGATTTGTTCTTAATAACAATAGCTTAATATTTTCCCTTTCTTTTGTTCTTTTGTAAAACTTACTCTGGAGGAGCCTGGGTGGCTCAGTCGGTTAAGCATCCGATTTTGGTTCAGGTCATGATCTCGCAGTTTGTGGGTTCGAGCCCCACATCAGGCTCTGTGCTGACAGCTAGCTCAGAGTCTGGAGCCTGCTTCAGATTCTGTATCCCCCTCTCTCTCTGACCCTCTCCTGCTCACGCTGTCTCCCTCTCTCTCTCTCTCAGAAATAAATAAAACATTCAAAAAAAAACTTACTCTGCCCAAATGTTGAAGTTGTGCCAAAGCCACCAGTGCCACCCCCAAAGGGTGTTCCAAATGACTTATTAAACATCTTCAAAGTGAGTCTTTGCTTCAGATAGCTGAAAGAAGAAAAACATATTACTTTTTAAAGACCACAGAATACAATTAATTCTTTAAAAAATATGTCATTTACATGTTTAGGCCCATTCATACTATAGCATAGTGTTCAATCTCATTCAATATCCTAAAACTCTATAATGATAAAAGATCTTCTAAAATTGAGCTGAATTACCAGTACCATAATGTGAGATTAAACTTCAGATCCCACCAATAATCAATCATCCCTTTAAAACCAGGTTTTTAAAAAAATTTTTTAAGCTCTCTTTTAAAGAAGAATTCAGGCCCACTATGCCAGATTTAGGAGGTTACACACAATACCTGTTAAAAATTACAATGAAATTCTGCTATCACAATCACCTGAGAAGTAACAACTTTTATCAGGGCTTATTTTCTACAGTTTGCATTGTAAAAAAGGCTTTTTGCCCTATTATTATTTTTATTTTTGGCATATAAAATGCTGCACTATTAAATGTTCTTTAAACTATGAATACACCTCTTCCGGTCTCCAAATCCCAGTCTGGTGCCCTGACATTCTCTTGGAGTCTTAGTTCTTAAGACCATTCTTTATGGTCCCCCACTTTTCCATCTTTGGAAACATTACAGAAAATCTTTGGTGAAAAATGATTCCCCTCTACTATCTAAACTATGTACTTAATGAATTGGACCAAAGTGTTTCAACAAGTACAGAAGTTTGTTTTTTCTCCCCTAGATAGATATGAATAAAAAAACAAGTTAAAGGTATAGTTTATTCAAAAGTAAACTCTGTCCCCCTCATAAATTTTCCTTAAACTTAAGATATCTGCTACCATTTATCTATCAGCAGACAAGAAAATACTGAATAAACTATGTACTTTAAATATAAAAACTCAGAAAATAGCCAAATGTGCTTATCTGGATTTTGTGACACAATGACTTTTCTATTATATACATAAGATGGAACAGTTTTTTCTCCTAGTAAAATCATTCCTCATTCATATAATAAAATTAAATACAACATCTGGAAGTACTCCCCAGTGTTTCAGTGTCCCTTTAGTACTTCCAGCTATTCCAACAACCGAAACATTCTGTGCAACACTGGAAAAGATGAAGCTGTCCCTAAATACCTAATGGTTTTACAGAAATCAACATTTGTCCCCTAAACTCTCCTAGAAAAAAAAATTCTAACACTTAGTTCTTTATCCCACATCCAGGGGTTTCATAACTCTGATTAAACAAAGCTCAGTGAACCAGTGGTTCAAGAGAGCCACATCAGAATTAGCTGACAAGCTTTTCAAAATAAAACCCCCCATGCCCCATTCTAGAAGTGAGGACCAAAAAGTCCAGGGTTGGAATGCAGACATTTGTATTTTGAAAGGCTCAAGTGACTCTAACCCATTCTCGTGGAATTAGAGGTTATATTTCATATAATCATCATTTCTCATTCAATAATGAGATCTGCTTGAAGTTTCCTGCCTTCTCAATTTTTTTTTTTTTTTTAATTTTTAATGTTTTATTTATTTCTAGGAGAGAGAGAGAATGAGCAGGGGAGGGTCAGAGAGAGAGGGAGTCACAGACTGAAACAGGCTCCAGGCTCTGAGCCGGCAGTCAGCACAGAGCCCGACGCGGGGCTCGAACCCACAAACCACGAGGTCATGACCCAAGCGAAAGCCGGACGCTTAACCGACTAAGCCACCCAGGCGCCCCTCCTGCCTTCTCAATTTAACAGGTGTCACAAAGTGACAGACTGGGCCTTTAGCCTATTAACTGGTGCCTCTCCTTTCCAGGAAAAATATTCTTGGAAGCTTAGCCAAAGTCTAGACCTCTATGGGTCTATCTATACATTTGTTTTTCAACAGTTCATTCAGAATTAACAGTTGTGCTAGGGGTTAGCATTTCATTGCTAGAGGTTAGCATTTCATTCTGGACCATTTCATTTTGATTGTAATCTCTCTCATACTGAGCCCTTGGGTCAGAGCCCCTATATACCCACTTTATCTATTGAATAAATTTTTGACCCATCATCAGCACAGCAAAAACAGTGAGCTGTAATAAAGTTGTTACAATAATTTTGCCATCTATTATCTTATTCACCCCCACAACCAGAAATCTGTTGTTCATGTAAATCTGACATCTTCCATACAGCAGACATGGCAGGGTTCAAAAGCCAACTAAGTTTTCCTCTGTGACATTCATCCTTATATTGAAGATTTTAATGTTAATTTGGGTTTCAGTAGCGCTGGATTCTACAGACCAAATCCACAGCTCGGTGACAATCAAAATGTGTTTTTAATAATCTTACCATAACAAAAACCTAGCCTCACACATATATTTCACAAAGGGATTTTAAGTAGTAATAAAATGCCCTGGGAAACACCTCACAGTTTATAGGCTCTTATATATTATCTCAACAATCTTAATACGATAGTATTATGCATCACTGCCTGTACTTTAAGGATGGAAAAAACAGGATCAAGTGTTAACCAAATTTCCCAAAGTCAAAAAAGTAGTAAGTGGAAAGGCCCCAGTTTAACCTATCTCTTGACTCCCCACGGACACCCTCAATTCTAGGAGAGAACAAACCAAGCAACAAAAAATAACATGTTCAGTGTTAAGGAAATTCATCTGTTCCAGACTCAAGAATGAGGGACAATGCTAGGACCAAAATCCAATTTAGAGTCCTAGAATAAAAGCTTCTCAACTCAAGCTCAGCCCATCTTTTTGGCTCTGGCCACAATGAGCTTGGCTTAATCTCAAACATGATCATACTGGGATTTAAGTGTTTTTTGTTTTTGTAATTATCACCATGGAAACAAACCAAGATTTTGCAAATGGACTCATGATTTTCATTATTACTGGTAGAAATTGAAAAATGGTTCATGCATTTAACTTGAGCAATTTGTTTGCCCCTCAAACAAATCATTTTCCCATCTGTAATGAAATGTCAGTGACTCAATGAAAGATGCCCCCTTCTCTAAGCTTACTCCCTTCCAAACAACCTAACTCATTCTTTAAAACCTAGCTTACATGTCATCTCTTCTATAAGCCTTTCCTAACTCTCTCTAACAATCAGTCATTCCACAGCACGTAATGGTTTGTTTACAAGTATCCATGTTGACTCTGACTCTTTATAGTGGACACTGTTATAATACCAACTACACAGATCTCCCTTTAGGACTGAAGGATTTGTTGTCCCAGCTGCTGAGAAGTACTACCGAAAGATAACCCTCAGCTATCAGTCCTCTTCAGAACTGCCTCCACTGAAGAACTGCCTTACCCAATGTCATATCCTCTTCCTAGGATAGCGCATCAGCAAAATCAGACCCCATCACTTCAACTTAGGGTAACTTTAAAGGCTGTTCCCAGCTTCACATTCTCCACAGGACTGGCTGAGTCCTTCCCTTAAGATCATATCACAACTCAATTTCTCCCTCACCCCATTCCTCTTCTCTCCCAACGTGCTGATCCTAAAAGCACTCTCTAATACAACTCGTGCAGGACTACCTCCAGTTCAGAGTCTGCTGCCCAGGGAGTTCACCTTCTGAAGTCTCTAACTCTCCCCAGTGCACAATAAACTTCTCGAGGATATGGACAGTATCATTTGTTTACTATCCTGGAACCTAACAAAGGGTCTGAAACATACACAATTGACCTTTAAATAATGTAGATGTTGTAACTTTTGACTCTCCCAAAAGTTAAGCGCTTAATAACCCACTGTTGACTGGAAGTCTTACCAGTAACAGTTGCTTAACAAATATTTTGTATGTTATATGTATCATGGACTGTATTCTTTTTTTAAAAATGTTTATTTGAGAGAGAAAGAGAGAGAGAGAGAGAAAGTGACCGCATGCGCATGCACACACAGAGGAGGGGCAGGGAAAGAGAGAATCCCAAGCAGGCTCCATGCTGCCAACGCAGAGCCTGACACGGGGCTCGATCTCATGAACCATGAGGCCATGACCCGAGCCAAAGTCAGGAGTTGGATACTTAACCGATAAGCCACCCAGGTGCCCATACATATTGCATTCTTACAGTAAAGTGAACTAGAGGAAAGAAAATGTTAAAGTCATAAGGAAGAGAAAATACATTTACAGTACTCTCTCATGTTTACTGAAACAATTCCACATGTAAGTGGGCATGGGCAGTTCAAACCCTTGTTGTTCAAGGGTAAACTGTACTCATTTTCTAAATTAATGACAATCACCACTTAAGTGTTTTTTATGTTGTGTTTTGTTTCTGAGAGAGAACGCAAGAGAGGGAGGGGCAGCAAGACAGAGACAGAGGATCCAAAGCAGATTCTGCACTGACAGACTGACAGTAGTGACCTTGAAGCAGAGCTTGAACTCATGAACCACGAGATCATGACCTGAGCTAAAGTCGGACTCTCAACCCACTGGGCCACCAAGGCGCCCCTAGTGTTTTTTAAACAAAGGCTGAATTGATCAAGGTCCTTTAGAAGTAACTTCTAACTTAAAATCATGTTTCATGAATTCTCACAACAAAAGCAAGCCACGGAAAGGAAGATTCTTGGTAGAATCTGTCATTTAATTAAGAGGTTGCAAAAAGGAGGCAATCACAAAAGACTGGATACAACCAAAAAAAACCAGTTTTTTGTTTGGCCTGTTATAACTACAGTATATTTCACGTATATATAAGTATGCATGTATGTGGAAATGTTTGTGTATGTGTACATATTATCTCAAACTAGCTGGTAACATTTAAAATAGGGCTATGGCAGAAATACAGATTTTGGGCCCCTCATAAAAAACAATGATTAAGCAAACCAGAAATGTAATCATCTAACAATAGCCTGGAATTTTAGTAGCAAATGTCCCCTTTGTCAAGAGCCATGTAATCTCTAATCTACATTGTGCCACAATACCCATCCAGCATCATTCTTTTCCATCAGCTGCCTGACCTCAACAGATTTTGAGTTCGTAACTTCTGATATAACCTGAGAAAGGACCCACACATTTAAAACTGGAAGATCAGAAAAGTGCCAAGAAGCACGACATGTCATCAA